CTTTCAATTCACTGAACAAGAAAAAGAGTCAAACACACAAATACAAAATTATGACACTCATAAGGAGGGACTCCGAGTCCAGTTCCTGGAATTACTCACGAGGCCACACCTCTTAAAGGCACACACCATCACACAAATACTACAATATGTACAATAGACAATCAAACATTCACGCTCACACTCACACCTAGGGCCAATTTGGAGTTTTCAATCAGCCTGCTATGCATGTTTTTGGAATGTGTTCTGTCATCTTGCCACACGTCTCATGCAACATAACAGTATTATCATATTTAATCATATAAAAGTACTTGTTGATTTGGCTTTTCTGTCTAATCCATTTGGGAGCTTTGACAAGAGAACACATTGACTACTCAATTAGCTGGCTAGCTTGATAGAGACTGATTGGCTAGCTGCGGCCATATGCTTGTCACTTGTGCTCCAAAGGTGACGTGGTTTTTGTGTGTGTGTGCTTAGTAGTTACTTCCATGTCATAATTGAAAACTGAAATGTTTTTTTCAGTCCTCCTCATTGACCATTGACATCTAGACGATTATAAGAGAGTGTTTAAAGTTTGTTTTATTGTTTTGTACATATTGTTATTGCGCTAGTTGACCAAAATGGGCGGGGAACAGCACAGAGTCACACACGCCTGCTGACTGCACAATTCACCTCTTCAGTATGTATAAATAAATGTGCACAGAAACACAAACAGCAACCGTCGGTCAATGTTGACTTGTTTGAGAAGGCTCTTGCTGCTGAGGTGCACATCTCCCAGCACGCCAATGCTGGCACGGCCAGCTCTGTAAATAATCGTTGGCATTTTATTATATGTTAGCGTAATGCTAAGAATGTTTTCTTTCGGCGAAGTTGTTTGGGTTATTTAAAATACATGGAATTCTTTCATTTTATATAAATATATATAGAATGATATATACAGAAGGTAGGTTTTAAAGAGAAACAAGTGAATACATTAATTTAGTAAAAGTGAACTGCAAATATGTGGGATATTTCTGTACTAAAACATGGCCTATAGAAGTTTATAAGTTAGACTCCAGAACAAATTATTTCACTTGACGTTATTTCCTATTTCCTATGGGATATTCTTTTCTTACTTTTATTTTTTCAGAATTCAGTAAGATTGTGTTCACTGTGATTTTCTATCAATGATGTCTTATCAGAAACATCTTCCACTTTTTATTTTTTTATTTTTTTTACATACACTCGGGCACACAGACCATTTCCCCTGGTGCATCCCTGATTGAGGTTTTCTCGCGTTGCCCTTCAGATTTACAGTAATGGCGGCAGAGGGAGGAAGGGAAGGAGCTGGGAGGGACGGTGCTACACAGGAAGAAAGGCCCAGAGAAGTGTGAGATGGGTGGGGGTAACACCCGCGGGATGGATAGATGGCACGTGATGACTTGAAAGGCGAGGCAGTTGGGGAGGGAATGGAAGAAGAGGCCGGAGTGAGCGACGGAGGAAGTCGGAGTAGACAAAACATCCTCCATTAACAGCCAATTTGTCCCTTTTCATCCTCCACTTCATCCTCCCAAGCCAGTAGAAATGTAAGGGAGTTGTGTGTTCGGGTTGCGGAGGTTACAGATGCAGGCGGCTTTTTACGAGTCGTTTTGATGTAACGGGTGATACATTTCCACCAGTGCGCACACCACAGGAGCCATGAACAGCCTCTCACAGACTCGCACGCACCAAGACACAGTGAGCACTATCCGCAAACATCATTCTTCCTGACTTGCAGATTGAATCTATTTGTCATGTGTCCACTTTGCTCAAAATGAGCTATTTGGCCATTGTGTGAATCTGAGGCCCCCCCCACCCCGAATATGAGGGCTGCATGGCTCAGTGGGAGGGTGGTCGTCTCCCAACCTAGAGGTTGGGGGTTTGATCCCCATCCATTGCAACCTTGTTGAAGTGTCTTTGAGGAAGATACTGAACCTCCAGTTGCTCCTGATGCTGTGCCATCAGTAGGTCAATGAAAAAAACGGTGTTAAGTGCTTTGAGTACTGTTGGTAATTGTGGAGAACAGAAGTTTAGTCATTCATTCGTGAAATGTCTGCTCAACAGAAAATGCCACACATGGTGATCCATGAGAATTGGTGGCTGAAAAGAGATCATGATCGTATTTTGACGATCATTTTACATTATAAAATTCCCCCAATTTATGATCATGACAAAATGTCGTTTTTAAATAGTTATATCACCTTTAGTCAACCACAAAAGCTGCACTTAAGACACAATATAGGGCTTCTCCTAAGCTTCTTTATGAATCAAAATCCGAGTGTCGACAGTGGAGATGGTTTGGATATTTTATTCCGGCGCAGAGTGTCGCAGCGCTGCAGTCGGCACTAACACGACCAGCCAGCTGTTGCTTCACGTGCATGCTTGGACTCCTGCTGCTCTAACCAAGCCCCTCTGTATGCCGCATTCTGAGGACCGTCGCAGCAGCACAGAAGCGGGAGACAAACTTGGCGGGGGAATGTGAGCGTCGAGCTCGGGTGCGAGCAGATGGAGTGTGAACGTGCGCCGGTAGCTCACATGAAGAGGCCGACATAATTGCCTGGAGCTAATCCGCCGCTCACTCCAAAGTGGTTAGTTAGATGAAAAGGAAGTCACATTTTCGCCAGAGTTCGCTTGACCTTCAACTCTCTACACACACTGAGCTCCACAACAAAAAAAAAATGTCAGCCATGTTTAATCATATTCATCATTGATTCCCAACCACTGTCTGGGGCGTGTGCGGCAGGAAATTTTCCAATTTCCCTTACATGATCAAAGCAAATGATGTCTAGTGACAGACAGAACAATTAAATGCTCTTCAACTACATGGCACAAGGGACTTAACCAGCGTTCCACATTTTTGGTTGGTGGAGTGCCGTGAGATTCTCTTCGAATGTAAAATATGTCCTTTGGCTGAATAAAGATTGGGAAAACTGTATAAGTAATTGAACTAATCGAAAGAGATATTGCTTTGCTCAACTGTGGATAGGCTAAAACCCCACAACCACTACACATCAGCACACAACTAATACATAACCATCACATCCCAACACACCGCCGGTACTCACTGCACATAAATCAGCACACTGTCATTAATGTCCAAAACAGCTGGCAACAAAAGTGATTACAACCCGACGGGAAATTGTCATCATTTGGGCCCACTTAGTCCTTTTCCCTCTTCTGTGTCATGTGACTTGTTTGCGTTACGAAGACTAACATGGGAATAGGAAGCAGGTGTGTTAAATTGGGCGCAATTGCTCTCAGACTCCCTCATACTGGTCAGCGGAAGTTGAGTGCGGTATCTTATGGAGAAAAACTGTCTCAGGGTTTGAAAAATGAAGGATGCAAATAAACTATTGCACGACATAACGGCTGGGTCACTGACGTCGAGGAAGCCGTTGTGCAAGGTATGTCATCAAAGACATTGTCATACACGAAACCTGTAATCTCCTCACTTGAACAAGTAGCACCAAAGTGATCAAGTGAAAAGCATGAAAACGCGAGCAGAGTTCGCACAGCCTGCCCACGTAAACATTAACAGTTGAGATAACATTAACTGACCGGCAATCACCGGACAAAAGCAGCAATCACTCACCTTTTGATCATGCACGTTGTCAAGGAACAATGATGTGAATGCCTCATGTAGTATCAAAACTCAAAAATGATGATGTTAACATATTAAGGTGTATTCATTATTCCCAAGGGGTCCCTTTTTAGAAGCTCACTGTGTTATTTTATATTCTTCCACATTTGTTGTATTGTTGAATAAAACTGTTTGTAGTGAATGAAATGAATCTGAATGACACTCCCCCTCTCCCCCAATTCAACCCCACACTTAACACTTATTCATCCATCCATTTTCTGACCCACATTATCTTCACAAGGGCCGCGGGGGCGCGTGATGGAGCCTATCCCAGTCAGCCCATCTTCAGGCAGTAGGCGGGGGACACCCTGAACCGGTTGCCAGCCAATCGCAGGGCACACACAGACGAACAACCATCCGCGCTCACACTCACGCCTAGGGACAATTTAGAGTGTTCAATCAGTCTGCCATGCATGTTTTTGGAAGGTGGGAGGAAACCGGAGTACCCGGAGAAAACTCAGGAGACCTTTTTTTTGGGGGGGGTCATTTCTAGCAACCTTTCAAAGACAGTCAGTCCCCCTCCGGTTTTTTGGGAGTTTTTTTTTTTTTTGCAATTGCTACCAAGTTTGAATGTTGTATCACAGACAAATGGAGGAAACTAAATTGTAAAAAAAATTGGAGTTCTGAGAATTGTGTATGCCGTAAAACACGAAAGTCCCAAGATGCCATGTTTGAAAAGAAACAGGAAGTCTGCTGTTTTGGTTTGAGGAGGCTCATTCAGGCACATTTTGGCCATTTATTGGGGTTGTTGAATTTCTCGGACAAATTTATTCTACTAAATTTGAATCTTGTATACCAGACATGTAGACAACGCAAATTATGAAATGTTTTTGTCATTGTGTGGGTGTGGTGTATCGTGGAAAAATAGGATGTCATACCACCAAATGTTAATGATCCTGCTCATAAAATACAGCCAGTTTTTGACTGACCAACAATGTCATTTTGTAGGGATGCCTACCATGAGTAGACCCACAAAAAATTTTACAATGAATTTTTGGAAGTGCCCTTGAAAGACCACTAGGTAGTCTAATTAAAAAGTCAAATTAAGCACCACTCGGTCGGGCCTTGACCAAGCATCTTGTGTTTGATAAAGGTCCAACTGGCAGGAATATAAAGATGCAATGCCTCCACTACTGATGCCAAAATTTCCCCCAACCTCTGTGGACTTGCATCAAGTCCTCACATTGCATCTTCCTCATGTGGGCTATGTCAATGCAAATGAGTGAGTGGCAACATCCCGGAAGGTATTCAAGTTTGACAGGAAAAGCCTTTCCACAAACAAACATTTGCTGACTCATGCCGCATGTGTGCCACAATATAAAAAAAAAAAGAAGCAAAATCTTACCTCCCAACGCTTGTTTCATAACGAAATTCATGCTGGTGATGGCTTTTTATTCCCTGGCTGCTCAGAGCAATGTCACATTCAAAGGTGGCAGATGAGTAGAAGTCCCGAGATCTGAAAATAAAGAGGAAGCGGGGGGGGGGGATGAATCCATTGCTTTGTGATGGATCACAACACAGTTGACGTACAATTCGGTCAATTGCTCACAGACAACAACGCACTTCCGCACAATCTGAACACGTACCAGCATGCAACCTGTGCTCAATTTGTATTCCACATGCTCACACGACGAGAACAAAACCGGTACGCTTACTGAAACACAACTTGCATACACCATCGCACAATCTTCCCAACCGGAACGAGGATAGACCGCTTGCATGCGTTGTACATTACCAGTAAATCATGCTCACACAACAACACAGAGATAACACATTTTACACAAAAAACACAACATGTACACTTTTACCTTGCAACATGGACACAATTGACAAACAAATAACACATCACCAGTACGCAACAAATACATAACTAACACACAAGCACTCAATCTATGTGCAGCCAGCATACAGACTTGATTTAATTACACAAAACTAGCACACAATATTTTCATATTTACACACAATCTACATAGTCCACAAAAAGTGTACACAATAACCACACACCAGCACACTATCAATATACATTTTACACACTACCTGCACACAGTGCTGGAGCACGCGATCGTTGCAAAATTTAGTAGCAAATAATAAACAATCCTCACACTCAGAGTACACTAATGCCCACACTGGCGCACCATTAGCACACAACTTCGCCACACAACCTCCGCACACCAACATATATTTTATTTTAACAGTTAACACAACCAACACATCTCAGGAACAAAGACTACCCATCAGTACACAATTTCCAGACTACCAATGCACACTTTATTAACAAAACAGCACGCAGCCTTCACACAATTTACTGACAAATAACAGAAACCATTCACAACACAACAAAATAACACAATCTAGAAAAGAAGTTACTGACAAATAACAAAAAAATGGCAGCAGACTGGTAAGCAAGGCCGCCTCACAGTGCAGAGGTCGTGGGTTCGAACCCAACCCTGGCCTTCCTGTGTGGGGTTGGCATGTTCTCCCTGTGCCTGCGTGGGTTTTCCCCGGGTACTCGGGTTTCCTCCCACATTCCAAAAACATGCGCAGCAGGTTAATGGAACACTCTAAATTGTCCCTCGGCGTGATCGTGAGCGCGAATGTTGGTTTGTCTTTATGTGCCCTACGATTGGCTGGCACCCGGTTCAGGGTGGACCCCGCCTACTGCCCGAAGACGGCTGGGATGGGCTCCAGCATGCTCACAACACTCGCGAGGATAACCGGTTTAGAAAATGGATGGATGGATAGATAACACAAAAGCTTTATGTGATGTACTAACAAATATCACACAACATTTATACAACTAACTTTAAAAAAAAATCTGACAACCCTACACAAACAAAAACACACAATGTTCACATCATTTACCAACAAATAATCAACATTTAGCAAATGTTCAAAACACACACACACACACACACACACACACACACACACACACACATACACACACATCACCTTTAAACATTTTACAAATAAATATCACATCAGCTTGAAACAATTCAAAATCAACTTCCACACAACACATCATGAGTTCACATTCTTCACGCCACCAGCACACAATCAGTACACTAACAGTGCGCAATTTTCACACAAGACTAACACACACAAGCACACAATCAGTACACTTATTTCTACACACCTCCGCACACATCAGTACACATTTTCCACACCAAGTGCATTGTATAGAAGCAAATAATACACCACTTTTACACAATTTACACACAAACAGACCAACATCACACGAATACAACACTCGACTACACAAAACCCTCACACAACGACCAGTACCCAACCACAACCATCAGCACTCTCCCATTATACTTCACATCCACACACCAGCTAACAATTACAGAACTAACAAATAGAACACCACTGTTACACGATTGACACACAAACGAGCCAGTGTATTCGGTGTGTGTGTTTTCTTCTTATTAATGGTGTGTGACCTCTGCTTGTGTGTGAGAGAGCGAGAGAGAGAGAGAGAGAGAGAAAGTGCACCACTAACAGACTTGACGGGGACAGTGAGTGTGTGCGCGTGCGTTTGTGTGTTCCGATCGTGTGGTCAAACTTTCCATCGTATCCTCCGTCGGCTTCTTCACCTTTTATCAAAGCGGCACGGCAGCCACTCGTACACGCCACTCCCACTTCTACCCGGGCTCGCCCGTGCACGCGTAGCGACGCGCGTGCGGAAAAACCCCGCCGCCGCCGCGTGCGTGCCCTTCCTGCGTCTCGAAGGCGCTTTCAGCACCGCCGCGAGTGGACAGCTCCGGCTCTTACGTCGCCCACGCAACATCAGCATTGGCATCGAACGTCGATGATCATTACCTGCGATTCACAAGGAAAAGAGGAGGAAGAAGAAGTTGTCCTAGTAGCTCGTTGCTCGCATCGTCTGCACTGGAAGAAGAAGGGAGAGGAAGAGTCGGAAGATGAGGAGGAGGAGGACGTCCTTGCGGTTGCCTGCACGAGTGGAGAGCGAGGAGGAGGAGGTGGTGGTGGTGGTGGTGTATCGTGGAGGATGAGGCTCACACCGTGACAGGATGGAGAGAGTGAAGCAGAGGAGGGAAAACGTCCCGCTAACGACCCCACTTCTCCTCCTCCTCCTCCTCCTCCCTTCTCTCTCTCGCTCTGTCCACGCCTCCCTCCCAACATGGACGGACAAGAGCCATCACTCAAACGTGGAAGGTTTTGATCACACACACGCGCGTGCAAACAAACACACACGAACACACACGAAATGGCTTTACAATTGTGCAGCCGAGTTGTGCGTTATGGCTCAAAAGCGAGACCCATTACAGAAAAGCGAGCCTCCAAATATTTCGCACTTTCTTTGGTTGTTTGGTGAGTTGCCATCTTGTCAGCAGGTTATTTAGTTCGTTATTTTTGGTATTTAGTTATTTGAGGTGTTAATTTTTTCTTGGTGATGGCTCAATTGCTGGGTTGTTTTGTAAGTTTGTTAGTAGTTTTTTCAAGTTAGCTGGTTAGTTAGTTTTAAGTTTAGTAACGAGTTAGTCATTTAGTGAGTTGTTTTTCAATGAGTGAGCGAGTGAGTGGCTGAGTGGGTGGGATTATTTAGTTACTTACTTACTTAGTTGATTTTAATTTTGGGTTAGTTGGTCATTTAATTTAATTTGTATATATAAGTACTGTAGTTATTTGATGACTTGGTTATGTCATTAGTCAGTAGGCCGGTTGGCAACATAGTTTGTAAGTTGGTTATTTTATCAGTTGTTGATATGGTAAGATGGTTATTAGTCATTTAGTATTTTTGTTTGTTTATACTGTAAGTCATGCATTTCAAAATTGTTTTTGGAAAATGTAGATTTTGTGTTCCCCGGGGCTAAAGAGGAAAAGGAAAACCATACAGACTGTTATAGAGGCAAAGTTCAAAGGCCAACATATGTGATGGTATGGGGCTGTATTAAGTGCCAATGGCGTGGGTAACTTACACATCTGTGAAGGCACCAGTAATGCTGAAAGGTGCATACAGGTTTTGGAGTAACATATGCTGCCATCCAATCAACGTCTTTTTCATGGACAGCCCTGCTCATTTCAGGAAGACAATGCCGAATCACATTCTGAACGTGATACGACAACGTGGCTTCATAGTAAAAGAGTGTGGGTAGTAGACTGGTCTGCCTGCAGTCCAGACCTGTCACCCATTGCAAATTATGAAGGATAAAATACACCACTGGAGCAGCTGAAGCTGAATATCAAGCAAGAATGAGAAAGAATTCCACTTACAAAGCTTCAACAAACAGTGCCCTCGGTGCCCAAACGTTTACTGATTGTTAATGTTAATAATGTAACACAGTGGTAAACATGACCTTGTCCCAGCATTTTTGGAATGTGTACAAGCCATAAAATTCTAAGTTCATGATTATTTCCCAAAAACAAGAAAGCTTATCAGTTTGAACATTAAATATCTTGTCTTTGAGGTTGGTAAACATAGGTTGAATGTGATTTGCAAATCATTGTATTCTGTTTTTTCTTATGTTTAGAAAAACATCCCAACTTCACCGGAATTGTATGTTGGTAAAATGTTAGTTATTTGGCCCTTTTTTCAATTCATTAGTTATTTCGCGTGTTTGGTTATTTTTTGATTCGATAGTCAGCTAGCCAAAAACCAGCTTTATTATTATTATTAATTTCAATTTCATGCTTTTTGTGTCATTTCAGCTGTTGGAAACCCACACTGGACACTGAAAAACTCAACAACCATCTTCAATGTTTGTGTGAAGGAATCCAGAGCACCTTCCTGTGTGTTCGGTTTTCTAGCAGCAACAACACAGAACCAGTGCATTAATAACAGCATGGCGCCTCCATCCAGGAAGCGGCAATTATTTTATTAGGCGATACACATGGAAATAAGCACACCGCCATTGCTTAGTCAAAGACGCTGTTTGCACACTGTTGTTGCACCGTGCCGTGTTTTTCCACAATATGTCAGCATGACGTTGACTCTTTTCATTACGTCCTCCTCTTCCCTCCCTCCACGCCGCTGTTGGGCTCCATTGATGAGGGGCGACGGTCAATACTAATTCACATTAAGTGATTTTCACAGGGCTTGCAGGCACGCCAGGCGCGTGGTTGCATGTCTGATGATCAATCTCATTGATAAACAACTTTCCACGGCCGGGGGAGGCTATGTCAACCTTATGGGCCCTATATTGCTCGTTTATATCACCGGTGCAGAAAAAAAAAAAGCACAAGGACTTCAGAGTGCCTTGTTAGCACAGTGTGGAAGAGCTCCACAACGTCTTGATGGGATATAGTTCAGCCACCGGAAGCCTTAAGCGGATAATCTTCTCACGGCTCAAACATTAAGTTTTGTGTATCCAAAATTAGCATTTTGTGCCTCATGTCGACCCAGTGTAAAGCGAAATTGAGAACAGACCTAACATGCTTGCGTTAAATACACACAGGAAGTCGGTGGCAGAAACGAAACTATTTGGTGGACGGCACGGGATGATGGCGAAAGCGTGGGAGCATTTCAAAGTGAAACGCATGTCGGGGAAATGCTTTTACACAGGACTTGCTCTCCACCAAAGACCCCCCCTAGTGTGAAGTCACACAGCGCCAATCAGTGAGATTCACGGTTATGTACTGAGGGCGTGCGGAGGGCTAGGTCTCTCTTAATTATGACTAGCGTCAAATTTGTGACTAGCTTATTACCAAGGTGACAAGTACAGTACATACCCGTGACCATAATGACATCATACACTGTGCTAATTATGCTACGTCCACATCGGACACCATGAGCGGGAAATGATCCCATGCAGGGTTAATGCAGATGGTGCGCTGCGGTCTCAAAAGAGCAGCGGGTGACGGGGAAGGCGGGTGTGGCGCGACATGAATCAGAAGAGCATGTGACATTGCACCACATGATTACATATCAAGTGAAAAAGAATAATACATGCCAGTACTAAAGCAATGCATGGTGAACAAAAAAATATGTATAATTTAAGAAAAGAGTATAATTGTAAAATCATTGCAAACATGGGAATGGGCGTGTCAAATCGTTGGACTTGGGATGAGACGCACTCGACTTCGATCCAAAGAGCAAATTCCACACATAATTGCCTCGCGCCCTTTCTCCTCAAGTTGAGCTATATTTGCATTGCTTGATTACAGCGGTTTTTATTGTGCATCAAGTTTAACATTGCACTGCGCACAATCACAGGCCCTAGTGATATCAATTCACTGATTGTCTGATTGACAAGCAGCTATTTCCTTCTGAGCTCCGCCACAAAAGGAAAGCGCAGCTGTTTGTCAACAGGTGTGTGGCCAGAAAATTACCATTCACAGTCAGGGCTTCACGAAATACAATCCACACATATTCAGAACAATTCTCATCACATTCATAACCGTGTAGGAAACATGTCTAAGTAAAAAAAGAAGCATTTTGGTGAGCTTAACTTTCTAGATCATGTCATTTTCCTTGCAATGGCTTTGCTTTTGTGTACTTTCTCATAGTATACTGTTGGAATAAATGTGATTCTGCTATCCCATATTTACTCTCTGTGTAACTTTAAAACCTGTTTCAGAGTGATACCTCGCAAATACCTCATATACAATGGGGTAGGTTGATAATGGTAGACTTGTCGGACCGGGAGAGCTCAGGCTGCTCCTGTTCTAGCTTTTAAGACAATATCTTGTTGTTAAGTGAACGGCTTCTGGTCAAATTAACTGTTGCTTGTGAGAAGATAACATCAAACCCAGGACACCATGAGAGGGACATCGCAAGCTGTGTTCGTGAACCATCGACATCCAGTAGGAGCCGTTTGACGACATCTCAGGAATGAACTGTGTTCTCATTGAAACTCTCCTTTACTGAAACTGTTGTGGAATGTGAAAATACTCCCCACTCCCGTTAGTAGATTGTGTATCAGGGACATCCTTCCAATAAATGCAAGGAGACAAACGCGCACTCTTCAGAGTTGCCCCGGAACCTGTAACGGTTTACATTGCAGAGCCAGCTGGAGAGCTGCTTTGAGATTGTGAACCGAGACATGTTTTAGCGCGCTCTCTCTTGCAAGAAAGACAACCATGCTTGCCTCCTGAGTCTTCCTGTTCCTGATGTGTTCTTAGCATCTGATTACCAGCATAAACCTAACATATACCGTATTTTCCGCACTATAAGGCGCTTCGGAGTGTAAGGCGCACCTTCAATGAATGGCCTATTTTAAAACTGTTTTCATATATAGGGCACACCGCATTATAGGGCGCGTAGAATAGAAGTTACGACAGTGGCTGGGGTTGCGTTATGCATCCACTAGAGGGAGCTATGCTAAAGGGAATACAATACAGATTAATTTATATAGCAATTTCAGAACCGCTGCAGCTGTAACAAAGCGCTTTACAGAACATTTAAAATACTACGTTTTGCATGGGTGGTATTTGTAGGACACCAAAAAACAGGCAAGAAGCAAGGGAGCTGGAGCAGGGTGGACTGACCAAGATGTATTTAACAAAAATGCAAACAGGAGCACACTGGAAAAACACGAACTCGAAGTACTCAAACAAAGTCCTGGAAATCACAAGGAAGCCAAAGTAACAAAAGAAACCTGTGACAGAAGCGGAGCACACATATCGCACACAATTCACAGCTCACAATTCGCACAACTCGCATACTCACAACTCGCATGTCCCAACAAAGACTGACACAACTCAGGGAACTAAATACAAGCAAAGTGACAACACAACGAGAAACACCTGGACAAGACACAAAGGGTCGAGGGAGCTGATTGGTTCAACACAAGGTACCCGGATGACGAGAACAGGTGGAGACAAAAAAGGGCACATGAGGAAACAATACCAAATGTACCAAATGTAACCAGACAAACATAACACTACGTCTAAGAAATCAGAATATTGATCCATATATGAGGCGCATCAGATTACAAGGCGCACTGTCGGCTTTTGAGAAAACTGAATGCTTTTAGGTGCGCCTTATAGTGCGGAAAATACGGTACTTCAATGTGCGAAAACTGAGCTCATCCATCAATAGTCACCAGCATTTATGTTAACATCAAAATAGTGGAGCGAAGTTTTTAGAGGATGATGTGGTCATAAGTACAGATGTCCACATATATTTTGGGGATGAGTGATT